TTAATGAAGAAAACACCAAGGAAGGTGAAGGAAACAAGGGCAGCCTGAAAGTCCTGCTTGAAATGCCACATCACCAGCAACAGCCCATAGGAGAGATCCCAGGAGCTTTTTTGTCCTTCTCTCAAACCCTGTGGAAACAAACACTTAGGACACAAAGACTTCATTCTCCATGGACACACACAGTGCCTTTGAAGACACCTGTACTGTGTGAACAGTGATCTGTGCTTCAGACTCCTCCGGTCCTCAAACCTTCCCTGGTTTTGCCACATGTCTTAAAAGGAGGATCTACTAGGGAAGATAGAACATCAGAACCTCCGTAGTGTGACCTCTGAAGTGGGTACCGTACGGCGGTTGTTCCCATCAGGTACGTGCAGTTGTAGCATCAAATGTTGTTCCCCCTCACAGGCAGTGGATGTTTCTCTCACCTCATCAGGAGCTGCTGAGCTGAGGTCCTTAGGGAATCCCACGCTTTATTTTTCACTCTGCCTGCCTGGCTATTGCATCAGGGAGACCTTGATCCTGCCTGGGCTTGAGGGTGTATAATTGAGCATTGAGCCCATATACGTTAAGAACAACAATAACAACAACAGAACCCCAGCCAAAGCCCCAAACCAGGCATTTCCTAACTTGTGTGTGGAACAGAGCGTCCTGTCCAGTGGGTATACTGCCTGCTTCCCAGTCCTCCTCTGTAAACACCGTTGACCTTCTGTGTTTATCCAATCCATAGGCTCCTTGTAGTTCTGTGATTCCTTGAGTTGTTCCACCCGCTGGACGAGTTGTAACAGGAACTGAATGATGGGGGTTTTGTTGCTTGCTTACTTTATACACCCGCAATTTCCTGGTTTATATGTCCAGAGAGTAGTAGTCTTTAATTTAATATTATTCATAGATTTTATTGAGCATTAGTTAACTTTGTAAAGCAACTTAATGGGCTGTGTCTTCTTAATTATATATGGCAAAACCTATAGAAACAAAGGAAAATTGACCCAATTTGTTACAGCTGGTTTACAAAGAGCCCTTGAGGTGACTGAGCATCACTTTCCCCTTTTATTGCACTTCACACATTTCCCAGCTCCTGTCAATTCAGATCACGTCTGACCTCCCTTTCCTGAAGCAGCCTCTGCATGCAGCGTGGTTGCCCCTTCTCCCTCCAGCACTGAGCCAAACCCCAGTGTCATGTCAGTTATTTTAGGCAGGGGGAAGACCACTGGCATAGTCTGGTGGAGTTTTCCTTTCCTGCTGCTTACTGGAAACATGCAAAATGCTGGGGTTTGACTTTGCACTCGTGGCTCTTAATGCTTTGCAGGCATAAAAGTACCCACATGCCTGTGGGCCTGCAGACCTGCTGCTTGATCTCACCACAGTCTTGTCCCTTGTTTCTTTGTGTCTCTGTCTCAGTATACAAACCTGCAAAATAAGAGAGAAACTCTGCTCTGCCAGATCTTAAGTCCTTCCAGCCCTAATTGTTCTGTGATTCTAAACCTGGGTGAGCACCTTTCCCAACGCAGCGGTGTGTGCCTGTGTTTCAGCAGGAGGCTGCAGTTCCTCGGAACTGTCTCATCATAAACTTCAAATATTTCCTACAGTCATCCTAAAACCCCTTTAAATCTTGTTGAACTTGTAATGCATTCATGTCTATTGTGAAAATGATCAGGAAGCATTTTCTATAACTGTATGTTGGCTGAATGACTCTATATTGGTTCATATATCTCCTTTACACAGCGAAAGCTGCCATAAGCCCTTTTCTAGGTACCCATCAAGCACTGTCTAGCGCATCAGTGAGGTGTGAGCTAAAGCTGCAGCTCTGGTTTGTGTATCTAGAATATGTTTTGAATATCAGCTACACCACATCCTGGATGCAGCATTAATTAAACAGACTGGCCCTGCTTCAGGCCCCAGTGGACAAGCATGCACATGGCAACTGTGAGCCTTGTCGGCAGCAAGAGATTAAGGAATTAATTGGCAGGGTTAATCTTCATGTCAGGGATGGAAATGAATCGTTAATTTGTTTGGATGAGTGTAAAGTCCTCTTGCAGCGATGGCAGGTGGGATCACACGGGGAGAAGCCTGCAAAGCTGCCCTTCCCAGGGACCTTCCTATTTAACACCACCTGCAAACAGACCTCTCGGGTTCCTTGCCCCTGATGTGTGAGACTCCTGCACAGGGTCAGAGCAGTGGGTTGTGCTGCTTGTGTGTAACCTCCATCCCTGCAGCTGACAGCACATGGGAGATGGGAGAGGGACTGGCTGCAGCCTGGGAGGGCTCCTTCATGTTACGGCTTTTCTTTCTGATCTTGCTCCTGGTTGCTGCATTGCAGATCCTGGATCAGGCCAACCTGCTCCAGGATCTACAGGTGGAGGGAGAGGTGCGCTGTTGGGGCAAGTGGTACCAGCCCTGCACACAGTGGGTACAATTTGATGGGTCTGTACAGACACTAAACCTCTCCTCCAGGACACTGTAGTATGAGAATCTGTCAGATCACTTAATGCTTTCTCCTTTCTGCTCTCATTTTACTCTCAGGACAGCAGAATATTTTCCATTTTAGTATCTTTTGGATCTGTTAAGGCTAATGCATTGGTCACATCACATTAAGACATAGGTGAAAAGCACCTCAGGGCTTAAATTAATGAAATGTAAATGTGAGTTTTTTATCACTTGTGCTCTCTTTTGTGCATTGATCTAATGAGTTCAGCAATAAGAAGCACTTTCTCCCCATGCTGTGGTCTAATAGGTTGTGGCACAGCCTGACTCTAGATGTGACATCAACTAGGACTTGCCTGCACAGAAACCTGGGATCTTTCTGGGTGTGCAACAATCCTGTTTAAGACCTTGCAGTCAAAACACTACCCTGTTGCCCACGTTTCAGTTCCCACTATCAGCTCTTACACTTACTCTTTCATTTCCCCTGAGGTACCGCTGGTCACAGCACACAGGCACTGCAACATGTGTACAACAGGCTAGGTGAGAATCACAGTCTGATCTGCTGAAGTGAATGTGTAAGACATTGCTGTTATACGCAGGCAAGATACGCTCCTCATTTTTGGAAGAGCCTTAGTGTGTGTGTATGAATATCACAGAATGAGGTACTGAAATACAGGTACAGTCACGTCCTGTTGTTTGTGGCAGTCGTGGGAAGCCACCTCTTTGTGCCCAACATATGATTTATGGGGAGACTGATGCTATTCCAAGGCACTGTAAAATAATGAGAGGTTTTCACAGCCAAAACCACTTGGCTGGGTTTAGCCTCCAGATCCACGTCCTGTCTGTGCAGTGTGTCACCACAGGGATACCGAGTCCTGCCAGTAAAAGTACTTGGAGATGAGGGGTTGGTTTTGGTGCTCAGGTTCAGTCCCCTCCCAAAGGAGTGCTCACTGCTGTGCTTGCGTCCTCTGACACCAACTGCTTCTCCTTCCCACACCCGCTCCATTTCCCTACTCCTCCAGCTTCCATCGCACACCCCCATACTGCTTCTGCCTCTCATTTTTACCTCTGTTCTATTTAATGTGAAGTATCTTTGTGCTGCTTTTCCCATCTGTGTGAGCCTACAGAGACTTCCATCCATTGATGACTGAGGAGCTGTTTTGCTGGAGAGGGGAGAGCAGGGTGTCAAGCAAGGTCTGGGACACTGAGTAGAGCTAGAGGCAAAGCAGAAGGGCTGGTGTGATGTTTGGGTGATGGTTTTTGTTAGGCTGTCACAGTCACTGAGTGCTAAGTAAAAATATATCTGATATGATACTTACTTAAGGTATCCTTAATCTGACCACTGTCACTTGTATTTGAGACCACAAATAATAAGCCCTGCCATCAACTGACACAGCAACTCTCTTGTGCATTTGTGTAAACCTGTTCTGGGGCTGTTTTGCATTCTGCAGGTTATTTGAGGCAATCTCTTTGTAGGTGTCTGTCGAGCACTTCCTCATACTCTCACCTTGCATTTCACGTTTTCCTCTGCCCCCAGGCAGCCAGGTAGTTGACTATAAGCTAAAACTAAGAAGGATTTCCTCTTTTCTGTGGAAGGGATGGGGGCTCAGAGGTTTACAGTTGTACTTAATCAGATAGAGTCTGTCCTGTGTAACTAAGAAGGCCCACAGCCTGTTGCTGGTACAAGCAGCTCCTCCAGTGCAGTCCAATTGAGCTGCCATTTTGCATTCCACGTAGAACTGTGCTTTATGGGTTTCGGACTTACTGGTGTCCTGAAATGCCAGTAACATGGTGATGTTCTAGTACAGCTTTTGTGTACTTTCATTTAAGATCACTAGGTTAGGAATTATGACCACTACATAGTTTAGAATGAATCTATGCTACACAGAAAGTTTTAATATTTAAAGTGAATGACTGGGTTCATCACAGACCTAGTTAGCTCTTTGTGTAGTAGCCTCTACTATCCATCCACGATGATGTTAACATGCCATATAATCAGCTTTAGAAAATGCAGGAGTTGGTTTCTGTGTTCCTGTGCTCATTCATTCCCCTAAGGAGAGCACTGACAATCAGAGGAATTTTACTGGAAAACAGGCATTTCTACAGCAGATTTTTTGGGGGGATTGTAGAGCAGTTGACTGTCTTCATATCTACTTTGGCTGCAAATTACACTGCACAAACGCTTCTTTCTTTATATACAGCAGAGATTTTACAGAATGAGCTCAATGCTTTCTTTCAGTGTTCAAATCTGGCGGTAAAGCTGTGGAACATGCCCTGGGAGTTGATTAAGTGAGAGCTCTTCCTCTGCAAGTTGTGTTCCCATGCAAATATCAGCAGTACTGGAGCTGCGAACACAAGCCTGCAGTACCTGCTCTGTCCCTGTGGCAGAGCACAGCATTTACTGCTTGTGTAAAGACTAAATGTATTTTTAAGGACAATTAATTTCCTTATGAAACTTAAAAGCGGATGAAGCGGAATTGAGACCATGAACTTAGCAATACGGTATTTTAGCATCATTGAGTAAGAGACCTTTTACCAGTTCAAGACCAGAATTTGATGTTCAGCATTTTCCTTTCTAGGAGTTACGACCCATTCTGCAGGAGCCAGGGCCTGAACAGCATCTCCACCTGGATTTTCCAAGGTTTCTTGTCTTGAAAGTGGAATCAGGAAGAAGATCTTTGGGAGGCAGGACCCTGACAGAGATTTCATCATTTCATTTATGGCTTCAGTGAGCTGTGTGGTAGGTACAGTTTGTCTGGTGTCCCACAGTGGCAGGTACACTGCCTTAGTCATTCTGTACTATGGTTGTAAGGTTGTTCTGATGTACTTAAATCAATCAAGTACACTGTGAAGATAATCTTGTTTAAAGGAAACCCAATCAAATACCCTGTAAGATTAATACACAAAATGAGAAATCCAGTTAGAGCACATCCTGCCACTTCAATCATTATGGGCACTATTCCCACAGGTAGGTCCTGTCTGGTATACAGGAACTGTAAGTGGAAGGACAGGTTTGATAGATCTGTTCCAATTCTTGGTTATGGATAGTTCAAGAACCTAAAGCAGTGACTGAGAAAGGCAAAGCTCCCAGATCAGGAAGGAATGAGCTCAGCTGGTAGAAGACAAGTATTTCTTGACACTGCAGCCATTTAGCCTAGAGATACGGGACCAGAGATGAAGAGCACAAGGCAGGTTTGACACTTTTATTAACAAAGAGCCCATAGGGCTCAGTCATTAGTACAAAATACAATCATGTTCCTGTAGGTTAAACAGCTTTTGTTTTTCTTATTTTTTCATTTTGTCTCTTTTAAACTGTTTCACAGTTATCAAAACAAAGCCCCTGCATATTGAACTTATTGTGCAAACAGTAATTATTTTAAGGATCAATTTCTGCACTAAGCCAAGTGTCAGAGAGCAGAACTTAATCTTGTTGTCACCCCTCCTTTGAAGGGCAACGTGTGCTTCCTAAGAAACACATTCTAGTTGTCTTTATTTTTTTGCAGCAAACAATCTAAGGCCACAGTTTATCTGCAAATAATACAAAACAACTCAAAGATTTTAAGGGGAAAAGGGGGAAAGCACATCTTTACCCTTCATGCTCTTGTTTGCTTGACCATGTTTATCCCAGGTAGCACACACCACCTATCAGGTGTTTCAGTCCAAAGAAGCACCTAATGTTCTTTAAGCCAATATTTGGAATTATTAACATGCAAATTAATACACAGCCACATGACTTCCCAAATAACTATAATGGTATCTGTTTAAGGAGAATACGCTTGTTCCCTTTCCAGGTGATGTGAGTGGGAATCCTGCACTGATTGTATGGGCACGCCATCATGAACTCAAAGGCATGAGATCTGATCTCGAGACTTAAGGTAAATACTGATCTTTAGAGTGACCTTTCTAACACGTGTACTCCCATTTTGGTTAAAGCTGCATCTGCTGTAGAGGACAATACTTAAAGTTGCACATGAAAACAGTAACTGCAGTATGAGTTTGGAAACGTGCATCTCAGCGTGTCTTTTACACTGGTGCAAAAGTGACTTGAGGTGAAGTGCTAGGAATCAGACAGTGTATGAAGGTATACTAAGAGACCCAACGTATGTATCTGTGTGTGCCTGTAGAAAATCCCTGCTTCTGAAATGAAGCTAGATTTAATAGAAAAAACATTTAAACTTGTTTAAGCTGCAGTTATTGGTGAAGCTAAGGAAACTCAGTTACTATTCTTGCAGTTACCAAAAAGCACAATGTTTCACCACATGAAGTACCGGGTTTTGACCCCAAACCTTTGTGTAAGACACATGGAATAGTTTGAGTAGTTCAAAATCCCCTGTAATTTCAACACTTGACTGTAAACTCGCGGATCAAGAATGCTGTGTTTCTACTCCTTTAAGTGATCTCTTGATGGTGCCGTAACTTATCCCAGTTGATGCTTGGCAGGAAGCAAACATTCTACTTTTAATGAAGGCAGCAGAAGGGCTTGGTAAAATGCTGTGCCTTCACCCTTAGCAGCAACAAACTCTCACTGTTCTAAATGACCTGAGGAAGAAAACATTAAAATATTGCACCAAAACAAAATAAAACAGCAAAAACAAACAAGGAAACACACTAACAAAACCCAGTATGGATAGCGGAGGACCAGTGCAGCCCTGACAATGGATCTCTAGACAAAAATGCAGGAGGAATGAAAAGCTTTGTGCCATTCCCAGAGGATTTTGTTCCCCTGATGTCTGCTTTCACTTCAGTTATAAGCTATGTCTATTCTGGGTATATTTACACCTCTCCCTACGCCTCCTATCTCAGTCACTAACCACAGAAACCATTTAGGGTCCTGTTGAGAACCTTGAAGTATACTGGAGCTGTAGCAAGACTTGTTTTGGTCTCGAATCTGACCATAAGTAAATATCCAAAACAGAGGTAGGCTTATAAAGGCTTCTGAATAAATAAGTATTGTCCATTTTGCTAATATACCTGCTCTTGGCGAAAGGCTTCTCCCTTGCCATGCTTCCCCTCGTCATGCTATCCATAGGCTTAAGATGCAGAAAAAGAACTCACAGTAGAAGAGGCTAGAATAATTCCCTTAAGAAATCCCTTGAAAGAAAGCATAGTGCATAAGCTCTTATTGAAGTTCCATTTTCTTTTGCATACTTTCGTCTTTCATTCAATACACGGCTGCCTTCATAATATTGCGTATAGCTATTCTGTCATCCATGATGTCTTTAGGATCATTATGAATGATGAAATAGTACCACTTGGCAGTTGTTAGAAGGCCAGGTTCTCATGAAATACAAAGTTAAGCTAGAGCGAAGACTTCACTCCATGATTTAGTAGTGTTCCTTTCTTGGATGCAGACAGTGCACAACTGAAGCCCCTTGAACACTGGATTCTTTTGGAAATGTTTTCTCACCCACATTCTGTCCAACAACGTAAGTTCTTCTAAGGAAGTTCACAACATAATGATGTAAATTCTTCCAAAGTGTTCCAAACAAAACATTCTCTCTTCAGAAGATGCTTGCATCTCCTCCTCATACTTTATGTATATCCACTCTTCAGAAAGCTTTCGGTATTTTCAGGTACTCCTTGAATATCCCAAGCAGAGCTGCTCCCACAATATCCTCTGTGCAGACTAATCCAGCAGATTCTCTTCCATCACCAGACATGCTCATACCTCCCCTCTCCATTGTCCTTTGCCTTTCTTGCAGATAAACTTAAGTTTTGGAAAAGAAAACTGTTTCCTTTTTAGCTGCACTATCAGCTTAAGCAGCAAAAAGATTTAAGACATTCATCACAACAGTACTCATTACAAATCCTCTTCAGAGCATGAATGAAACGGGCTGAATTTCTTCTACATCAGTTGGATGTGGATCAATCTACAGAAAGAAGAAAGGCCACAATTACTGCCTGTAACATTTGCATTTCTTTATACAGGGTTGGCTTTTTTTTGCCATCTGACAATAAAACAGCACCTGCTGTTTATTTTTTTACCTCAGAATAAAGAGGTGGAGGCTGAAACCGGAACTCTTGTATGTAAGCAAAGACAGGACAACACAATTGTTCCTCACAGTCTATTGGTGGTGGATAAGCAGGAACATGTCTGGAGAACTCTTCCTCAGACACTACATCAGCATAATTTGGTGGTGCTGAAACACAAGAGATGCTACTGTCAGATTTCAGACTATTCATTCACGGCGATACAACAGATTACAGCATCCTAGACCATGAAAACTGTATTAAATATTCAACTATTATCAAATTGTATGAAGTGCACTATACTCATAAATAACTAGAACTATGTTTTTAGTAAGCTTAGGTGATTCAGCAGGAATACTACAGATGCTCTTAGGGCTACTCCAGCAACAAAATGTGTTCTATCATGATATATTCAGCAATGATTAACTTTAAGGCTCTACCTCCAACACAGAATTCCCACTATCAGAAGTTAGTTACTTCAAGACTCAGCTAATAGATAGGGGTAAAGAGAGACTTAAAAAAAGCTGGAGTTAGATCTTCACCCATCCTTCTGGATCTTGACTTAGATTTATGTGCCTCACTTCCGCTGAGTCATAGTTTAATGGCCTACATCTCTAGTAGTGCCTTTAAACTGCACTGCTACCCTTCCACATAGACAGTGCTGTGCTGTATTACAAATATTTCAATAGGTGTTACCTTCAGGGTGTTCTGGCATGGTCAGTGCCAGCCAACTCATATCCATACTAAACTGGCTGGTAATGCTGGAGTTTCTGCTTGAAAATCCAATACATGGAATAGTGCCAATCACCAGAGGCATTTCAATCATCAGTTTCTTAGCACCAGGAATATGGATATACACCTATGTGACAACCCCCAAATGAAAGAAGAAAAACATCATGAGACCCAACTGAATTGCTGCTCCTAGAAGCTGCCCTACTGCCCTATGCTGCAGATTGCTTAGAAATCAGGGTTTTCTCCTCTCGGCTATGTTTAGCTGATACTCCAGCAGCTCTCCTTATTTTCCAGCAACTTCCTTCTTTCTGTACCTTGTCTCTAGGTAGCATTAAAAAAAAACACAAGAAAGGTTGACAAAAATAATTATGTACTTGACTTTCAGTTCTATCCTCCCACTTCTGAATCAAATCACTAGAGGAACCCACTCAGCTTGAACTACTTTCCTCTAATAACCTCTGCAGGTCTTAAACTAAGCTGCTTCTTTCTCAGAAAGATTCTTCCACTTGACCCATTATCCCTATCTTTCCATTTCAGAATCTGTTCTTGATCTTCAGTCCCTCACTTCTATGGTGTATGATATTTATTGTTGTTCCTAAATTCAAACTCTTAACAGTTGCTCTGTAAATTCTTCTATCCCCAACTCAATAGTCAAGAATATGCACATTTGTAATAAAAAGCCATACTTACAGCTAATGAATATTCTACTCTAATAATACAGCAGTCAAGTATAGAGGGGGATACAGGTGGGATTTTCAGAGTTTTCCCATTCCAGGTATCTGTACTCCCAGAGGCAATGTGGTTTCCTCGGACATTGGCAACCATCTGACGGAAGGTTTTTGTCTTCCCACTGGCCAGGTAAGTTTGTGTTTGGAAAATGGCAGCTTTTGGAACAATCAAACGAGAGGAACAGTTCTCAATTTCTGCATAGATTGGAATGGCTTCCCCTTCAAGACAGAGAAAGTTCAGTGAATAATTTGTATTTACCAACTTTCCTCTGGGAGTATCAAAGCATGTTATGCAGCACGTACATCATCTGCAATGTTATGAGAACAATACTTGTTAGTTTCCTCAAGCTAGGCTTATTTTTTTTGCTGCAGAGTGGTATCCAGGCAGAACTACAGCCACC